AGGAGCAGGAGGAGGAGCAGGAGCAGGAGCAGGAGCAGGAGCAGTAGCAGTAGCAGTAGCAGTAGGAGTAGCAGTAGCAGTAGGAGTAGTAGTAGTAGTAGTAGTAGTAGTAGTAGTAGTAATAGTAGTAGTGTACATTTCATCTTCGGGGATAGAATGAGTCCACTCAATCAAAGGGCTCCTTCATGTCATATCTTGCAGCCTGTGGTCCTTGGGGCAAGGAAGACGTTTTGCCAACTTTCTCGAGGAGAGCATTGGCGCAGGAATCTGTTTCGTTTCAGGCATGCACTCACACTATTGATTTGCGGCCTTCAACCTGAACCCTGCTCCCGAGCTTCCCGAAATAACTCTCGGTTCGTAGTCTGCTGTCCTTCGGGACGGGATGCATGCAAGTGCAGGGCTACGGCGCGACCTGCAGCGGACCTTGCAATTGGAGACGCTGCTGCTTAGAGGATTTGCTCCCTAAACAAGAATGTCAAGTTAGCAACAGGAATCAGACGACGACAAACAAAGAGCCAGTAGGCAGGTCAGACACTCGCAAAGCGAGGAGGAGTTTCACAGAGTTGCGAGCATTTTTCCGCTGCGTGTGAATGAAATGTTGTGGTTGTAGCCGCTACGGTTCACAGACGGCGTACTAGCTGTGCTAATCAGGCTTCGGGCGCAGTTCTAATAGTCTGCAACGGGCTCCTGTGCGAAGCGTCAAGGACGTCCCTGTGCTTCAGCCATTTGAGACTGCATCGGAGCCTCGTGCCTCTGCGAACTGCCTGGTCTCAAATCCCGATGGCAGTCCACCGTGCTTGTATACCAAGTGTAATTGCCCAAGCCGGTTGTGCGAAAAATCCAGGAAATCTCAAGCCTGAATCGTATCGTTGAATCGGGTTGGAAACTAGAGCTCACCGATTTATGCTTGGGGTTGTAGGTTTCCTAGCTTTAGGGCTTTAGGATTTTGTGATTTAGGGTTTTGGGTCCCGGGTGTTGGTTCATCATATCTGCGGGTCGCTGCCCCTAATTGGATTGTTGTAAAGAAATTTTCTTCTTAAGTATAGGTTGCTTTCCTGAAAGATCCAAAATCATTGAGATTTGGAAAAGCTCTTAACCATAGCAGGTTTTATTAATCAAAAGCTCGGATTGGACCCTTTCAAGGCAAAGCCAATCAATGAATTCCCCAAACCCGAAACCTAGCAGGACCCCTTCATAAAACCCAGACATAGAGGGCTGGGTCTACAGATATACGGATTAAGCGTCCACTTGGTCTAGAACCAAGAGCTGCACGAACGCAGAAAACGCTAGGGTAGCGGGAGCCCCAGACCAAAACCGAGATATCTCGACGTTTAAAAACTTCGAAACCATTGCTGGCAGTGGGAGCCCCACGACGCTTAAAGTTTCGAGACCGCTGCCGGCGGACTACTTATGAGAAAACCCTCGTAAAGGTGCAAAACCAGGATGCTAGCAAGACTGCACCAAGAGACCTTTTGGCCGTCCTTGGGTTTCTCGTCCAGAAAAGTCGAAGGGAAACACGGCACCAGACTTCGTCTTGAAAGCTTCCATCAGAGTACCCAAGTTCAGAAGACGGCCAACGTAGAATTGGAGCTTCTCCTTGATTGGCTTGGTGTGGCAGGTCCTTCTGTCAACACAAGAGCATAGGCGGAGCAACACTGGGGCACAGTCGGCTCGCCATCCGCTAGTTTCGCAACGCCTGGTGTAAACCAAATACTGCTCCTTCCACCGCGCGGAAACGTGGAAACCCTACCACTTACCTCCAGCTTCCTCCGACACCGACGAGAGCCTTTGGCGTAGCACCGCTGCTCAGCTGCCAGCGCCTGGCAACTCGAAGGCATCCTCCCAGTTCGGTCGGACGCGTCCGTTGTTTCCCTAAGATCAGGAAGACCCGCTAACTCAGAAGCTTCGGAAAAGCGGGTTCTGTTTTGACCGTGGCGTGAAAGTCCGGAATCTGTGAAACTGACTCGGTGCGTGAACTACGAGAGCGGTCGGAAACCGGCTCCTGTTGGTGGGCGGTCGGACCGACCAACAAAGAAAAAAGAGGCAAAGCTGAAGAGCTGCGGAAACATGGAAAACGGACCTCTATGCGTAGAGCACAAAACCGGAAGTCCAACTGAAAGTCCAAAAGGTGGCACGGACGGAGTGGAGTGCCAAGCCGCCTTCAGCTCCTGTCGGAGCAGAAGGGGGGAGGCGGTGGGAAAGTCAAAGTGCAACCGAGCCAGCGGTCGCGGGCGGTCGGTATGCCGTTGTGTCCGAAGACCAAACACATCCGATTGAACTCGGCACCACGCTGGCCCTGATGCGTACCCCAGGGATTTCTTTTGCTATGGGGTGGGTGCCCTTGAAAGCTTGGGATGGCTATTCTCTCTTCAGGGGGAGGCCTTTCCGTCGGCCGCCGGGCCAGACTTGTTCTCGAGACAAGGCGCAGGTTGGGACACGGCGGACTCAGGTTCAGAAGCGTACGACCCACCGCCTGCCAGTTCGTGAGTATTGGTAGTATTGGGCGCAATGACCCACACTGACGGTGACGGAGGTTTCCACGACCCAGGCCCTGCAAGCCGGGCTGTCGCATGTGGAGTTAGTTGCACAGATGCTACCCGGGCATCGCTCGTGCTAGGTCAGGGCAACGCCCCCGAAAGGTGATAGCAAAGTCAAGTGACCTGCCTCCTTGAAGCAAGTGCCCAAGCCTAGCCACTGCACTGCACAGTGTGTAACGTAGTGGTACTTCGATTTACATAGGCCCATAGGCCTTACTCTTTCACCTTGCATAGGCGAAGATCCTAAAGGGGTTGAGCGGCCTTCGTTGTTTGTTTCTTAGCTGGGTTTCTGTGTTCCTGCTTTTAGGTGATGGCTAGCACGAGGCCTCGGAGCAAAAGCTACATCAGCTTCTTGCAGACATCTGTCCATTGCTCCAGAAACGGATGAAGGATGTACCTGCGATGATCGCGGGGCAGTCCCCTCGCCACAACCTGCTTCTGATCCTTATAATCTGTTGCTTAAGTCGCGCCTTGGGTCCGTGGGTTTCTCTTCTTTGCTTAGCCCCACCCTGCTTTCCTGGATGATGCAGACGTAACGGCACGCACTGAAGTTTCAGACATGCCCGCTATGAGCAAAGCCCTCTCGCTCAGCGTCCAATATAAAATTGTTGTTGTTGTTGCCGCTACGGTTCACAGGAGGCATCTTAGCTGTGCTAACCTGGCTTTGGGCGCAACTCTAAAGGTCTGCAACGGGCTTCCTTGCGAAGCGTAAGGGACGTCCTTCCGCTTGAGCCATTAAAGATTGCTTTGGAGCTCTGTGCCTCTGTGGACTGCCGGGTCCCAATTCCCCGGCCTCCTTCGACAGCAAGTTCTGGACGAGCTGGTGGTAAGTGGTCGGGTCTCCACCTCTCCGCGCAGTGGAGGAAGCAGTACTTGGGTTACACCTAGTCTTGCGAAACAAGTGGATGGCGAGCCGACTATGCCACAGTGTTTTTCTCCAGCCTATGCTTTTATGTTTACAAGAGGACCTGCCGCACAAATCGAGTCAAGGAGCAGATTTCATCCTATATTGGCCGCCTTCTGAACTTGGGTGCCTTGAAGGCAGCTTTCGCGACGAGGTCTGGTGCCGTGCTTCTCTTCGACCTTTCTGGAACAGACACCCAGGGACGGCAAACAACATTCTCTGCGCAGTCTTGCTGGCGTTCTGGTTTTGCGCCTCTACGAGGGCTCTCTCACAAGTAAGACCTGGATTCTGGATTGCCTGGGCATTTTGCGCAACCTGCTTCGGCAACTACACCTTGGTATACAAGCAAGGTGGACTGCCACCGTCTGCGACACAGCCAGTGCGATCGAGTTCCTCCGACAGCATCGAAACCTCCAGTCAATGGAACTGGCACAAGCGAAAATGATTCCTCTGCCTCCTGTACCTCACCACTTTTCTATCGCAATGGCACTGGCTTCTCCTTTTGCACAGCCGTGCCAACATTGATGAAGATCAAGACAAAAGAGCCGGGATGACTGCAGAGCCAACGTGCTACTGCCGTCGAATGCTCAGCTCACCCACAAAAGTCTTGCTTTCGACAAGTACTCAAGCAGGCACCGCTCCAGGCTCAGACTGTGGTCCTGCTGTGGAGGTCTCCTGAACCTCTCACATGCTCGTCGGTCTTTGGATACGGACGGGGCAGCCGAAGCAGGCAATCCTGCTCGGCGGAAATGCAGAGGGAGCCTCATGTGCTTGTCGGCTCAGAGTAGGGGGCAGCACAGCGGATCGGTCGCCAAGAGTTCACATCTTACACATCAGGTGGCTTAGTCATGTATTGATCCTCGGGTCGGTTTCACACCTAGTGAGTGCTTGGTGCGGTAATATGCCCGCCATGCGTGGAGCCCGCTCGCGCAGCTTTCAATTGCAAATCGTTGTTGTTGTTGTTGTTGTTGTTGTGAACAAGTAGCAGGAGTTGTCTTGTGAACCACGGGCCTGTCAGGAACGTCAGCTGCCTAGAAGGTTCCGTGCCGCTCAATCCAAACGGTGCTGCACTCCTCTGGAGCTGAGCAATTGCGCCGCTGAAGGACGTAAAGGGGCAGCAGCTGCAGGAAAACAGATCTCGTCCTGCATTTCAGAGTGCCCAGTCCCACGTCCGGGGGTGATGGCAACACTGAATCCAGAAGCAGGATCACTGGCGAGAGGGTTGGCTTCTAGCCTCTAGCCGTTGTAGCCTCTGGGAAGCCTGACCCCGTTGTGGAGGAAGAGTCGGCAAACAGCACATGTGCTAAAACATCTAGTGCTGTTCGTGGCCCTCTCTAAAAAAGGCCAGGCAGACACAGTGGACGTGGTGCAATTTTCTCTGTCGCGGCATCGCTTTATCTGGAGTTCACACCGTGAGTATGCTGGCAATCAATTCCGACTGGGCCGTCGTTGTTGGTACACGCAGCTGCTGCTGGTACACATCTGCCGGAACGCAGTAAGAGGTCACAGTTGTCAGTTTATTAACTAATTCGGTCTCGCTGGGGTGATTTCAAGAGCGGCAGACATCAGAAACGCGACATTTGTAACTCACACGAAAAGACCCGGAAGCGAGCTGACCTTTTGACAAACTCGACATGGCAGTAGCATCTCAGCTCCAAGTCCTCGCCAATGCCCCGCGGAGGTTGGGATTATCCGAGATTCTTGCATCTGATTCTGGGCACTATGGCTGAAGCATGCTGAAGCTGTACCGGTTGGATGGTCTTGCAGGGCTTTAAGTGAAGTTTAAGACCTGGCTAGATCTTCGCGGCCGTTGTCCCTTCCTGCGGTGGCGGATGATCCCGGATGCGGTGATGTAAAATGGCGCAATTAAGAACGGTTGACCAGCTGGTCAACCCTAGTTCTGGCCAACTTGACTCCGTCCGTGCATATAGCGAAGGGCTTGGCCACCGGCACTGGAGACGGTACAGCATGAACAAAGGCCTGCAGGAAATCACAAAACACAGCAGCTCGTACTGTCGGTGCTCCAGCTTGCAACGGAACTTCCTCCGTTCTCTGCTGCGTCAACGTTTGCTGAAGCTCGCTCTTGGCTTGCCTGAGACATACGCTACGCGGACGCTTGCAAAGTCACACATGCGAGGCTGTCCAGGTTCAGGCCCTGACGAAATGGTGTCGGCATTTTGCAGAAGGCTATGGTTGTCGACTTGGCTTGCGCTCTTTGCCTTTCCAGGACTAGATATACTCACAGACCTGCACTCACACAATGCCGGCCCAAGACTTCTGCATGCATTCAGGGGTATGTGAGTGTCCCAGCTTCTCTCGACAGAGCCCCTTGTCCTCTGTGTTGCCCCAAGCCTTTTGGGGCTCTCTAGTCCCTTAAGGGGCTGGAGCCGTTGACGTCCGGTGCGGCTTCTGGTGGTCACCCGGTTTTGTTGGCGGCTTGGATATGCATGAACTGACTGCATGGAATGCACGAATCGCCAACAGCAGCCCATCAATCTGTTGCATCCAAAGCGGATAGTACCGTTCAGACTAGATTGCGACGCTTCGGCAGCTTCGTCGGAAACCATGTTTGTGTTGAGTTGTTGTCGCTTCTTTTGTAAAAAAGTGACCACATTTTGCAATTATGCAGAATGGATCGTACTTTAGGTCGGTTGCTTGATGGATCCCCAATCCGATGGCTAGATGAATTTCGACTGCTGTTGTTGATTTGTTTGATGCCTGTCTGTTTGGCGACAGACTAGGTTTTGCTCACCAAGATGCAGCATCTGCAACATTGGTCCTTTTCAGAACTTGTCACATGAATCGGCGATATTGCCGATCATGAGTGTCACCATCTCGCATTTTGCGTGACAGAACTCCTCGCAGGACCCAGCCCGACACAAAGGAAAATATGCTCGTGCAGCTGACTGCAAATACTAATCTCATGGCTGCATCAACCGAAATGCTCTCTGATGCCGCACTCAAACGCTCTTGGTGCTCAGCGTCAGCTTTGTACGCGAGCAAGCTTGCCGCTTGGCGTTCGGCAGGTTGGGCTCGGGATCCAGCTAGCTTCGCCTTTGGAGCAGCTTCCAGGACTGGAAGCCCATTCCGAATATATGCAGCCACATCCTCAGCAAATAACACTTTGGCCAAAGCCCCTCTCATAACCTCGATTGCGTTGAAGTGCTGCTTGCTCGCAGTGGAGACGCCGTCCTCGATCAAAATGACGTCGTATTGCAAGCTGAAGGCATGAAATGCCGTGGAGATGATGCAATCATCCGTCCAGGCACCAACTTGAACCACGGTGTCAACACCCAGTTTTTGAAGCTCCACGTGCAATGTGCCTTTGCCAGGGTTAACTGGAGTTTGCAAATTGCATGGCAGAAAGATGGGTGAAATCAGGTCGAGTTTTCAGCTCGTAACGTGAAGTGAAGGCACTGCAGGATGGCTTGGGGCTTTTGGGTAGATCCTTTGCAAGCATGCCTTGGTCGCTCGGCGATGCCCACTCCATGGGTCGCTCGTCAAACATGTCGAGAGAGTAGCTTTTGTGCATGACCCGGCGCCACTCCATTGGATTTTGCGGTGCCACCGCGGGCAAAACATCCTCATTTTCAACTTCTTGAAGCAATCACGGCTGGGCACTACAGTACCGAGCGACGGACCCGTCGACATCATGCAGTCTCCCTGTTTCAGGTTTCGCTACCTTTCTTCCACAGGCCTCTGAGCACAGACAAAGGACCTGCAGACAGCATGGCCCTCGCCCATGTACGGGTTTCCTTCCTTATAACTTGCTGGCTAACCAGTGACACACAAGTGACACGCACGCACGCACACACACACACACACACACACACACACACACTTTTCATTCGGCAGGCTGGGAGACTCTAGGTCGCGCCTATAGCATCTGTACAAAATGAATTCAACTCACAAACAAAAGACGGCACCCACATAGACATCAGTCCGTGGGGCTCTGGAATCCCTCCCCGGAGAGTCTGAAACCTACGGAAGCCAGCCAAGTAGGTAACGGCTCAAGCGGGGAAAAGGCTGTACGCGGGATTCTCAAAATCACCCTAGAGAGGGCGGACTGTCGTACAAAATTGCCCACGGTTTCGCAGGCGGCTTCCAGGTATTGTGTCTGCCTCGAGGCAGCAGCAAGGGGGGCCCCTCCTATAAAGGGATACTGGAAGGCCGGGCAGGGAGCCGCATCGAGCGCAAATCCAACGCATCGCCCTGACAGTACAAAGGGTAGTTGGAAATCCAGAGTACCGGGAAGTTCAGGACAAGCCGTGGTGATCACAGGGGCGGCCCGCCTACGACAGAAGGTGTCACAGGCTACTTCTGGGTCCAACATAAGCAGAATGTCCTCGACCACGTCATTAACATCTGCAGAGTTCCTGTCAGCCCAAAGTTGGATCGTGGCTCTTAACGTCTCCAGAGGTTCAACAAAGTCGGAGACGAGCTCCCACACACGCTCGACATCATGGCTATCCAAGTTCTCCAACGCATCTAACAACCCCTTACTATGGACGCCCGGGTCAGTGTCAATATGGGATCCATCAAGGACACCCTCAATGGTGAGCGGGGGCTCCCGCTCATGTGGCACTGGCACTTCTGTGTGCGCAGGGGCAAAGCGGCCCCAGCCCTGCCTACAACCAACTGCATGCAGAAGGTGTCGCCTGAGACGGGCTGGTTTGGAGAAGCTTTTCCCGCATCCGCGGCACAGAGTGCTACCCGTCGAACCGACGAGGATAGACGCGGCGATCCTATAGCCGTGAAGCTTTGATGCGTGACAAGCCCAAGCCGCCCTGGTGGTGAATCCTCTCTTACAGATGAGACATGCTTCAGTGAAAACCACTTCTCCTTCGGCAACCTGAAGACTAGTCCCTCCGGCTTGCTGCACCAGGGTACCGTGGAGTGCTTGAAGTGCAGCAATACATTTGAGGCGGCAGACCTCCAATCCCTGGGCACGCTTGATGAAACCTTTAAACAGGGCTGGCCTTCCCTGCATAATTTCACACCATGGCCCCCACGAAGTAATGGGATCAGGCAGGTCGCTGGTCACGGCGACCCTAGCGAAGAGCCAACTTAGCGCATCGCGCAGCAACTGCATGTACTGCGGGTCCTGGCGAATGAGCGCCCAAACGGGGTCTGGCGCACAGGTGCAAAGCTGTAGGAGGTAACGCAAACGTTCTACTTGGAGCAGGGTATCAGGGTCCGGGAGACTGAGCAGTGCGCACGCAGTGGCCAAAGACACATGTTGGTCATCAGTAACACGAAGGCCTAAAGTCGAACGGTAAAGGTGGAAAACCGCCCCATGGAAGTTTTTCTGCTCCCCAACTTTCAAGGGTGGCCATGCCCCCGCGCCGAACAACAGCTTGCTTAGGACAAGGGTGCGTAGGAGCGTGCCTCTCCTACAGGCCGAGATTCTCTTGCAGCGGAAGATCCGGGTACGCCCTTCTCTGAAGGCCGTCCATGCTGCCGAACACCTTTGACGGATCTCCGGCCGTATAGAGCCTTCGGCAGCCTGCAACACGCCGAGGTGCTTATAGGCGTCCACGAGGGGGAGCACAAGGTAGTGCCATACTCTCGTATGACACGTAGCTCCGGCTTACCGCCGAAAAGCGACCGCCTAGCTGCTCTGGAGCCTGGCCCACGCGGGCTCACAAGAGCAGCAGTCTTCTTCGGTCCGAACGATGACTGGAAGGAGTGCCCCTCGAAAGCGTCCGCAAGGGCACCTACCTCGATGCTGACTGCAAGTGCAGTGTCCCTGGCCTCTGGCACGGCGAGGCAGCAAGCAATGTCATCTGCCCAAATGAGGTCTTGTAAAACGACTTCACGCTCGCAGACTTCGCATGGCCTCCAGTCTCGCCAGCCATCCCACGCTACCTTGGGATAAGGGCATGCACCTCGTGCACCACGCTTGAGGCTGTCCCGCAACTCGACAACACGCCGCAGCAAGACCCCGAAAGTTAAATCAGCCCAGGCTGAACCTGGCCTGGTCCCTCGCCTTGTCATGACCGGAACACTGTCTCCCTGGAGGCACATCCAGGTTCCCTGGTTTAATGTGGCCGTCAGTGCCCGCAACCACGGGCTCGCCCCATCCTGTGCAAGTGCTGAGGGCCTCGAGAGCTGAAAGCCCGGGGCAAGGTTATCGCTTGGTCCCTTGTCTCCCTCTTTGTCAGCCTCTGGCTCATCCGCAGGCATGCGGGAGGCGAGGCCGCGAACGGTCGTATAGTAAGCAGACGACACATCCGCAAACACCACAGCCGAGGTGCGGCCTAGACGAGCTTGGTATCTCATGAATGTACGCATTGCATGCGACCCGAAAACTACACTTGCGCCCTTCTTGCCGCCTAACTGGAGCGGGGAAGCAACTTGTGCAAAGTGCGCCTGGATACTAGGCCTGAATGAACGGTGGATCGCTTTACACAAGTTGGACAGCAGCAAAATCCCCCGGAAGGATGAGCAGTCTGATTGGGGCCCACGACCCTTCCAAATCCATGTGAGCGCACCGGATTTGTATCCGACCCCTTCCTCTCCTATCAGTCCCAACTTCAGCAACAGGGGGAAGAGAAGGTTTTGCATCTCCTCAGCACAGAGGATGCCCACTTCTCCCGGAATGGCGTCCGGTCCACTGGCTTTCCCTCGTTTCGCTCCTAACAGGGCGTTACGCAGGTCAAGTGGTGCCGGGGGGCCGGGACATCTTGAATGGAGGGGGGCGCTGGCCACGCCTCAGCACACTCACCTGTGGTGGCTGTGGCGATCTTATCACGTTCAACTTCAACACCGTCCTCTAATGCGCTGAAAAAATTTCGCCATCGTCGGATGGTATCCTCGGGGGTTGCACACAAACTACCATCCTCTTCTGCAACTGCAGGGAGCACCGCCGGCGCGAAGGGCTTCTTCCTGCGCCGGCTCAGCATTTTGTCTGCAGCGGCAAAAGCGTCTGGTTGGTTTGCCTGTATGCGATCAGCCAACTGCTCCATATATTTGGCTCTGTCCGCTTTGCACCGCTGGCGTAAGACATGGGCAAAGGTACCTAGCCTAAAACCGTAGAGTGCTAGTGCGACCTGGGCGTCCCTAAGCCAGGCCGAGGACGTATTGCTCTGGGCACCGTCCCTCCAGCTATAGAAAACCCCCGCAACAGTTTGCCGGTAGATAGCCGTGCGCACTGCTGCACATCGCCTTCTAAGTCTGGCTACTTCCTGCTGCAGATCCCAAGCGGAATCGGAAAGGTACGGGTGCAGTGGCTTCTTGGCCTGCACAGGGAATGCCTCCGCAAGTGAGTGCTGCAGGTAAGAGGTAACTATGGCCACGTGGGCATTCGCCGAAACCTGCCAGCTAGGCCTCGGAGCGCGTTGGATAATACCTATAAGGGTACTGCGCTGCGCCGGGTCCTCCATAGCCTTGACATTGATACGGGGCCGAGCTGTTTTGGCCTCCTGCGCGGAGCAACATACGAAGACCATGACATCAGCCAGGACCGCAAGATGGTCAAGGACGAGGTTTCCCGCAGTAATTTCCGGCACAGTGCGAGTGGCTATGCCGCCTTGTTTCCACTGGATCGGCAGCAAAATGTAATCAGTTCTGGTAAGCGCCCCATTGCGCCGCTGAGCGAATGTCCAGGATGGACCGGACTGTATGCCTCCCCAAGTGGCTGGGGCCCAGAGTTCGCACTTCCGCATTATGGCGTGTAGGTGGCTACCTGGGAGGTCCTGCTCTTCCGCGCCTATGTTTGCAACGCTCGCCGATTCAACCGATCCTAGACTAGCGTTACAGTCGGCACCTATGACAAGCAGTCGCCCTCGTGCGACGCGGTAGAGCATCGATTCTGTCTCAGTCCACCATTGCGATAGCTCGTCCTCTGGCGTACCACGATGTGGTGCGTGCAGCGAGGCGAAGACAATCTGTAGCCCGCCCTGCTTAAAGAGCATGGCAAGCCTCCCGGTGTCTTGGAACAAAACTACAAAGGACTTCTGCTCGAATATTACGGGCGCCTTCTGCTTGTTTTTAAACGTGACGAAGGCATGGTTACGCCGAAACCAAAGTTCAACACCCAAGTGCCCCTCATGTGAACCGGAGGAGTACCTCAGGTATGATCCTGTGACCAGATGACCAGCGTCAGTTCTAGCCTCCTGGATAGCAGCAACATTGACCCCTGCCGCCTGTAACTGCAAGGCGAGAAGGGCTGGCTTTGCCGGTTGAAAGGCTACTTGGATCGTCGGGGTCGGTTG